TATGCCATCTGTCCTCCGGGCTGCTAAAGCCAAACAGGCATATCACAGCAATTACACAACAGCAGTTTTGCAATCATCATGTAGTAATCTCATGGAGGGCGATTTACTATAGGAATGGAAATAGGTTGTTAATTGTATTATCTTAACTAAAAATAAGAATCGGGTACCATTTTAAAACAGAAAAATGCCCCCACACTTAATAAAGATTAAAACCTTTGGGGGGGGGGCATTAGGTAGCACACACCCCAGTTCAGAATTATTCAGCACATTATGAAGCCGATTCAGCTCTTGGTTGTATCCCTAACCACTCGCTCTTCCTTCTCAGCTGAACTGAGATAGTAATAGCAGCAGAGGCTGAATTTTTAAGGCTTGGGAGAATGTCAATTATCGCCAGATAGCATCGTTTCCAGGGCACCAAAGACTGAGTGGAAGCATTCAAAACTACATATCCAAAACTTTCTAGCAGCTGTCAGCACCAGCTTACTTCTAAATTTCCTGGTCCCTCTTCATCTCAAAGAGTATACTTTGAGGAAGAAGGGGTGACAAATGGTGCAGAGTTGGACTTTTACTGCTCAGGCATCATGAACCAAACATGATTTCTCAGTGATATCTAAAACTTTCTCTGATGGTTCTCGGAAAGTGCTCAGACGCACCAAGCCTATCACATAGCAAGCCAGTGGGAGGGATATCTGCTTGTTAAAAAATAATTTTAAACATCCTGTCCCAACTGTTTTTCCTCTTTGCAGTAAAAAAGGGAAATAAAGCATATTCTACAGAGTTCTCATCCTTGTTCCATTTTCTAGATAGACTTTTTAGACATGTTGAAACACACTGTAAGGTTCTCAGTTCCTGCATGAGAACAAGTCCTTTATTTGTTGCAAGCCTTTCTGCCATTTGTACAAGATCTCTCTGTGAAAAACTAGATCTTTTTCTTTTTGTGGAGCAAAGCAGACACACTCAGTGAGCACAGGACAGGATTTTCAAAGTAAAAGATGCAAGTGACTTATTCCACCCTTGTCAATCATTGTCTAAAAACTATTCACTCAAGTTTGTGCGCCCACAGATGATGATGATGATGATGATGATGATGATGATGATGATAGAAAAACAATAACAGAAAAACAAGAAAACTCATGACCATTCATAATTCACTACATCCTCACAGTGATGTTGACCGGCTCTATCTGCCTAGAAGGCAGAGGACTCTTACAAGTAAAACAAGCAGTCAAAGAAGAAAAACACGCCTCGGCAGAATATTTCAAGGAAAGCCAAGAACCTGCTTTAATTGAAGTCAATAATCAGAAACTTTTCAAAGCACAGTAGACAAAGAACTAGTACAAGAAAACTGCACTAAAAACCAGAGCTGATAACTGGCACAACAAAGCATTGCATGGGCAGTTCCTTGACAAAATTGAAGGAAAAGTCGATAAGCAGAAGACCTGGTTATGGCTCACGAATGGAACCCTGAAGAAGGAGACAGAAGGCCTGATTCTTGCAGCTCAAGAGCAAGCCATCAGAACAAATGCAATTAAGGCCAGGATCAAAAAATCAGCAGATGACCCAAAATGCAGACTGTGCAAGGAAGCTGATGAAACCATGGACCATATCTTCAGCTGCTGCAAGAAAATTGCACAGACGGATTGCAAACAAAGGCACAACTCTGTGGCCCAGATGATTCACTGGAACTTATGTCACAAGTACCAACTGCCAGTAGCAAAGAATTGGTGGGATCATAAACCTGCAAAGGTCGTGGAAAATGAACATGCAAAAATATTGTGGGATTTTTGAATCCAGACTGACAAAGTTTTGGAACACAGTACACCAGACATCGCAATTGTGGAAAGGAAAAAAGTCTGGATTATTGATGTTGCCATACCAGGTGACAACTGCATTGAAGAAAAACAACAGGAAAAACTCAGCCATTATCAGGACCTCAAAATTGAACTGCAAAGGCTCTGGTAGTCCCAGTAGTCATCGGCACACTGGGTGCCATGTCAAAAGATCTCAGCCAGCATTTGGAAACAATAAACATTGACAAAATCACGATTTGTCAACTGCAAAAGACCTCCTTACTTGGATCTTCACACATCATTCAAAAATACATCACACAGTCCTAGACAATTTGGGAAGTGTTTGACTTGTGATTTTGTGGTAGGAAATCCAGCATATATATCTCGTTTTCTGTGGCATACTGTGTTTTTGTGTCAGAATAATGATGATGATGATGATGATGATGATGATGATGATGATGATGATAATAATAATAATAATAATAATAATAATAATAATAATATACTTTATTCCATCTTAACTCCCTAAAGGGATTTACAGTACACATATATGGCAAACATTAATGCCATTATACAATTAACAAAGACAGACAGTACATAAACAGAATTAAACACCACCCATTTTTTCCATCTCCGGCATCTGGAGCATATTCGACTCCGGCCACAGGGGAGGGGAGTGTACTGTTGCTCCATCTTCCACGCCTATGAGCTTTGTTGTCTAGACTCTCTCCTGATCGAATCGGTCGGCATGTCCGCATGGGCACCTTTTATTACCTCCCCACCAAAGTGATACCTATTTATCTACTCATATTTCTGTTTTTGAACGGCCAAGTGAGCAGAAACCGGGCTCACGGTTAGGAGATCACCCCACCCTGGGCTTGAACTGTCAACCTTTCGATCGGCAAGATTTTCTGCAGCTGGTGGTTTAACTTGTGCTAAAGCTGGGCAAACTCACATTCTTGCCAGTGCAAGTATTCTGGCTGAGAACACAAGCCAGAGGGAACAAAAACGATGTCTTAACAAGCAAGAACAATATCCCTTGTTTCAATAAGAAATAAATCCTCCATTGGTGCTGGAGGAAGCTCTTGATTCCTTTCTAGAGTTCTTTAGATGGGAAACTTCCACATCCTCCAACCATATTGCTACAATGACTTGGAACTTGAGAACTTGGGACTTGGGAATTGAAGGACAATCTGTGAAAGAATTAGATTATCATATACCCCTAAACATAGACAGACTTCACTAGTCTGGAAGACTATTTTGCCTCAAGAACATCTCTTTTCTTTTCAGTATAATTGTTGCAAAGTTGCAATTAACCTTGGCCAAACCTTATCACTACATGCAAGATTAAGCTTTCCTACCTGATCTAGTACAAAAAAGAATGAATTGTTAAAGAAATGCATATTTTTTTTCAAAAAGAGATTAAGATATATTTTGGTATGTTTTCCTACCCAGTTGGTTTGCATGGCTCTTAATCTTTTAAGCTTTAATTTTACCAACTACAAGAAATGCAAAATGGCCCAGTCTTTGATCTCTGTTAACCTGCTTGTTTATATGAGATTCCTCCTCTGTAAATGGTTTTGGGTGTGTTCGTTTTAGTAGACAACACTCCCTCTCAAAAAGGTCATAGCCCATAGAGTACTTAGCTCAATGTTCTGGCGGTTGCAGAAAGGAAAAATAAATGTAATGTTGTATAATGCTGTAATTCCAAACTTTGTCATGTATTAAGCGACTATTAAGCAGTGAAAATGTTTTGCCGCTATGGAGCTTCCCTTGCCAGCCAGATATGGGGAACCTCATAGGTGTTGCTTGTCACATATTAAAAGTACAGGAGCCCTGCTCTGGATTTTACCCAGCAGCCCTAGTCAGCATTCAGTATGCCATCCTCCCGGTTAAAGAGACATATAATATGACCTCATCATTCTACCATCATAGTATTTGGTCGAGTATAGATTAGCTTTCTGAACACTGCTATTAAAGAGGTGAAGACACATGTCTACAGCAGGGTGACAGTCAATCCTCTATAATTTTTTTTCTTGGCAAGAGGCCTAAATACCCTAAAAGCATTATATCCTTTCTGATCTTAGAAGCAATGCACATTGAGCATATTTGGATGAGAGATTGCCAGTGAATACCAGGTGCTGTAAACTATATTTCAGAGGAAGGAATTGGCAAAGTCATCTCTTGAGTATTTCTTGCCTAAGAAAAACCTGTAGAATTCATGAGATCAATAGAAGTCAACAGGTGACTTGAAGACATACATAACACATATAATCATAGTACAGCCACAGCTCTGCCTGAAATGATCATAAAGCAAAGAGAGAATTCTCTTTCAGGCTGCTGCCTATCACTGAATGCCTGGATTGATGTAATCATGCATTACATACAGAAAATTAAGAGTGGGAATCTCTTGTTTTATGCCATGAAACAGAACATCATATGCACACCCTGAGTTCTTTGTTACTTGTAAAGAATTTGGCGGAAAGGCTTCATTGGTGATGATTGTACACAAGAAAAATATATATTTTATTTCAGTTTGCGGAAAGCCTGACTTACTATGATGCCTTGCCCTATGAATTTGGTCGGTCATTCCAGAGCCTGTCTGGAGCAGAAATGCTCGGGACTGACAGCAAAGGCAACTATATGAACCCTCCTGAACCTATTGTGGTGACAGGTCAGAGTCTACATAGTCCAGCCAGGCTAAGACTACATCAGCCCTACTGGACTATCACTGTTTGATCCTCCACTACCCCAAGTCTGGTCTGTTTTAAAAGCCACTGAAGAGAAGTGGGCACTGCTGTAAAGTTTGTGGTTTCTGCAGATGCCCTAGTCAGTTGCATATCCAAACTTGCCTTAACATCATAGGTATAATCATTTTTAAATGAAAATCATGCCACTGTTAGACTATAATGGGCCTTTCCACAATAATTTTCTATCTCCATAAATAAAGGCTGATTATTAATTCCTTACAGAGAATACAATCATCTTACTTCAGAGTTACACTTCTTCTGAAAGAAAAAAAACATTTTCAGAATCCTAAAAATATGTTAGGAAATGGATTTCTCCTAACAGAATAGTATATCGTTGATGAGTATATAAAATCCTCCATTTCTCAGGAGAAGACAAATAGCTATTTCTTTCAGCATGTTAGTAATGTGACTCTTGGAGTGGAGAGATGATAATTCATACTCCTTTTCTTTGCCTCCTCAGGTTGTTGCACTGTCATCCTGGAGCCTCATGAGGGATTCGTCGTACTATACCTGTTCTATTATTGCACTTATTTTGGTAAGTGTTCCATGTTTCATCTCCTATCACCTGCTGCCCACAATGGGATTCCTTCCCAAGGTGTTAAACTACAAGTCCTAGCTAATGTTGTCAATATTCAAAGCTGAGGAGAGTTGCAGTTTGAACTATCTAGAGGTAGCAAATTGAGGAAGATCCCCCAAACCCCCACTTCCCTCAAAAATTTAGGAGGGGGAGAGGAATGGCACCAAATTAACCAAAACTAGAAAGAAAAATGACTGGAAATGGAAACCAGACATTATTTCTTGTTTAATTTCCAAGCAAATCGATTTTTGGGCACAGTCCACGGGGGGAGTGAAAACTTGCAGGTGCCCACCTTTTTTTAAAAGAACATACATAATCAGGAAGCATACATTCACTTATGGAAAGCAGCAGAATTTTTATTTATGGTGGCTGCCCAACTGTGGTCTGAGGGCAGTCAGTAGTCCCTGGTGTACTTTCAGGTGTCCCTTGAGCCTGTGATGAAAGTACAGAACTTGATTTCAGTTCACTTCTTGGCTCCATAATGTGATTTTTCACTGGAAGAGACTGCTCATGAACTTGTGGGTCAGTGCTTATCCATTTATATTTACTTTAGTATTGGATTAACATTTATTTGCGTTTTTGCTGTAATGTTATCAAATAATATTTCATATTGTTTTGAAATAATTGCATTTATTCTTGTATGGCACTGATAGCACGATTTGGCTAGGACAGGGGCACTGAGTTAAAAATAAACCGAATGAATCATGGCAGCAAGCCAGATAATTCAGGCAGGTGGGTGTTCCCTTGCCTCGGGCATCCTTTTCCCTCTTGGCTCAATAACAGCTCCTTTTCTCCTTCTTTGGATTTCTCAGTTTGCTTCACAACTCCATGGCTCAATGGGGAAGTGTGTCTTGATGTATAGGAGCCACAAAGACTTAGAGTTTCAGGTGGTGGAAGACAACAACAACAATGATGATGATAGTGCTAATGATATAAATGAATGTTATAGCTTCATGTGGAATTGCTCACACTGGCTGTTTTGGACCATGTCCCCATTTATAGCAGCAACTAATCATCCCCTCTTAGGCTGAGTACAATACAGGAAGGTTACCACTCTTTCCCAGCTGTCATATAATATAAAATGTCATGTTGTAGTGGTATTCAACCAATTTGGACTGGCAGGAAGTAGGGCAGTAAAACCTGAGGAAGAACTGCATTCTTTCTGCCTGACATTGCATTGTCACATTTTGCCCTGACACCCTATTGTAGCAGAAACATGTGTCCTTGACTATAAGCTGCTTCATAATGAGGCCCGTAGTTGTCGGTGACAGCTAAGAGCCAGCAGAGAAGCAGATGTGTGGCTCCCTCTCCTCCTGCCCAATCTGGCAGAAAAAAATAGAAGGCTAGAAGGGTGACAGTGCAAGTATTTCCTCCTAAATGTGCCAGGCTACTTCATTTGCCACTGATCATTGCAGACAAAGATGGGTGACGAAGAAAAAGGAATGCTGAGGCACAGCATATGAGTGCAACCTAGTGGTGACTGTAAAAGAAAAGCATTCCTTTCCTTGAATTCCAGGGAAGTGTCCTGCCTGGAGGAATGATGTATATACAGACAGTCCCCAAGTTACAAACATCTGACTTACAAATAACTCATAGCTAAGAACAGGAGTGAGAGAACACAAAGTGAGAGAAATTTACCCTTCGAAAGGGAAATTCACTCCTGAAAGAGTTATCATGGACAAAAGGTGCCTCCATAGAAGCTTTGTCACTAATCCTTTGTGTATATATACACATACACATACACATACACACACACTAGCCATCCCCTACCACACATTGCTGTGGCCCACATGGGGGTTCTGTGTCGGAGGTCTGGCCCAATTCTATCGTTCAGAATGCTCTTTGACTGTAGGTGAACTATAAATCCCAGCAACTACAACTCCCAAATGTCAAGATTCTATTTCCCCCAAACACCACCAGTGTTCAGATCCATCATTGTTTGAGTCCACAGTCATCTTTGGATGTCGGTGAACTACAACTCCAAAACCAAAGGACACTGCCCACCAAACCCTTGCAGTATTTTTTGTTGGTCATGGGAGAACTGTGTGCCAAGTTTGGTTCAATTCCATCGTTGGTGGGGTTCAGAATGTTCTTTGATTGTAGGTGAATCCCATCTACTACAACTCCCAAATGACAAAATCAATTTTTTTTTGAGTGAAGGACATACATTGGATTGTTAGGTGTCTTGTGTCCAAATTTGGTGTCAATTCGTCCAGTGGTTTAGAATCTACCTGTTCCAACTTTCAAACAAATTCAACTTAAGAACAAAACTACGGAACCTTTCTTGTTCATACCTTGGGGATTGTCTGTATTATGTAGAATAAAGTGCTAGAATTATATGCCAGCTAAGCATTTACATTTTAAATGCTTTTGCACATTTAAATCATCAACCCTGTTTATGTGTATGTGTGCATATGCAGACATACAGACATGGGTGTGCATGCACACATGCAATTTTTTCTAAATGTATTAGAGAAAAGTAGTATGTACCTCATTGAAACATATATGCCTGTTGGCATGGTCTGAAACGGCATAGGATTCCACCATTTAGTATGTGTTCAGATGCAAATAATTATCAAGTAAGGACAGCCTATGCAGAATTTATTGCAGCTGCATGGTTGATTGTTGAATGAGACTCTTCAGCATGCCCAGGCATATTACAGATTTTGTAGAAATTTCATTTCCTCTGAAAAGCAACTGTAGAGAGTGGAAATTAAATGAGAGTGGCCCAGTTAGTACTTTCCATTCCATTTTCATAATCTAAATCACCTTACCTCCTGTGTCACTCCTGCAATCCAATTGCTCTTAACTACCCCACAGCTATTAAGAAGTCAATGTGTCTTGGATTCTGATCCCAGATCCCCAGTGTATTAGAAGTATTGGTATGGTAACTTGCTTTCTATACCACTCAACTCTTTGGTGTTTCTGATGGTTTGGCACTGCCGACTGCCTTTGGGCATGGAAATCCATTTAAAGCCTGAGTGCAGAGGACTGCATTCAGGCTTTAAATCTATCTTTAATTGGGAATTTGAGTGATGTCAGTGTGAAGCATGTTGGTTCAGTTGATTTCATTCTAAGAGAGCTCTAGCCCAGTGCCACGTGCCTTAGGTATAAAACCAACCCTGGAAGCATGATCGTGCCCATATAAGTGGGATGATAAATCTGTTGTGTTGCTTAAGTCTGAATTTTAAATAGCTATCCATGGTCCTGAAAACCCTCTTGGTCCCAAATAGTTTCAACACTGTGGATAGCTCATTAAAGTTTAGACTTTTACTCAGAGGACACACACACACAAACCAATAGCATTAACCCTACTTAACCCATCTTTTGTTTCTGGCATTTGTACTTAGAAAATGTAATTCCAAAACTTAACATTATATTTACGTTTTTGCTTCTTCACATACTAATTTAGTATACTGGAAGAGATTAATAAAAAACTTTATTTACAAATGAATACATTGCGAATGGTAGTTATATGAAATTACAGTTTTCTGGAATGTGTGCTGGTGCCATGAAGTGTGTGGTTTGTAGATTACTACTACTCCTGCTGTTATTTCTAATGAAAATATGAAACTTCTTGAAGACCCCTCATATGTTCATTTTCTTGCAATTAAAATATGGCTTGCTTTACATATTAATACAATATTTACATTTTTTTCTCCACAGTTTATTTATGATGAAATGGTTACTTGGTAAGTAAAAATTCTGTCATTTTTTTTATTAACAGAAGTAGGAGAAACGAACCTACTGAGGGACCAAGTGCCTGCTCTACAAGAAACCTAGATAATAGACTGGCATGTGTTTAAAAGAAATGTTGAGTTATTAGTGAACGCCTCTTCTTTGGCACTTTCTTTTTAGCCTGTTCATGCTTCACACCCATGTCAACTTCCATAGAGTGTATTGAACTTGTGTAAGTAGGGTGGATACATGAGCATTGCCAAGGCCCATACAAGACATCTTTCCGCATGGGATGAACAAAACTGCACCCCTTCCACTTCATGTACAGAAAGCCAGTTGGGAAAAGCATCCTCCATCCACAACACTTGATGGCAGCTGACTAGCATAGGAAGTTCAGAGATGGCTACTCTACTTGGCCCTCTATTCTTCCCTCAGGCAACTTTCTACCTCTCACCTTTCACCTAAGGTGACTGCCTTACTCCACCTAATGATAAGGCCAGCCTTGAACATTACTTCCAGGATAAAAGTAGCGAAAGTAGATTAAATGATGGGACATACATATTCATGCTGTCATTATTGTGGTTCAAAGAGACTAGCAAGTCATTAGAGCCATCAGTGTTAAAAGAATAATCTCCATACCAGCCATAACTACTGCAACTGTCTACTGTAACTGTTGGTTATGTGATTATTCCCACCACATTGTGAATGATCTCCTTTAGCTCTGTGTGTCTGCTGTTTGGTATGAAGCTGTACAACCAAACTATGAGTAGCTAGTGGGATAGAAGAAACTGAATCAAGAAGGTTCTGAAAAGTCTATCTTCATCTAGTCACCTATAGAGGTATAGCAGAAAGTAGTATTTTAGTAGGGAAAAAGATATAGCAATTCCAAGTGTATGACAAAAAATACATTCATTCCTTGAGCTCCATTACCTTCCTCTTCATAATGATAAGGCCAGAGAAGAGAAAGAATTGTAAGATGTTAGCTATCTCCAGGTGAATTTAGAGGCATAGTCATAAAGGCTGCAACAAAGAATTAGAACTGAACATAAGAGTTATTTCTAAAGGAAGTAAATGAGAGTGCTTGATGGACTATTCTATAGTTTCAAACTGTTTTGTGTTCTCTGACTACCTGTGAAAAGAAGAAATTGGTTCTATCATTGTTGTCTATCTTCCAACCAATCGTACATTGAATACTTTGGCTTATTATCATTATTATTGTTGTTTTTCTTCTGCCTCTCTCAAAAATGAGACTCAGGGTGATTATCAGCATAAAGCAGTGGTTCTCAACCTGTGGTCTGTGGACTACCAGTGATCCACAAGAACTAAAATATGATCCGTGGCCTCACTTTTACTACATCGTTGCAACAAGAGTGACTGGTCTTTTATAGTGCCGAGGTTTATTAAATATGGTTTTCTGTGGGCGAGCAGATGGCAACTACTGGATGGCATGTGTTCTGTATCAGAAACTAGAGCTGATGTGGTCTATCCAACGCAGTTTTTTTGAATCAGCACTGCAAATAACCAAACCAAATCTTAAGTTGACCAAAAACAATTCATAACCCCTTTGGTACTAAAGTTGGAGAGTGGTCTTTGGTCAATGTGGCCCCTGGTCAAAAAAGGGTTGGGAACCACTGGCATAAAGTAATACAGATTAAAACTATGCAAAACACTCAATAAATATGAACTTGGTTTGGTTGCAGGTGGGAGTCCTTAATTTTAGTGCTGATGTATGTCGTCTACATTCTCATCATGAAGTAAGTGTGATATATCCGTGTGTGGTTATTGTTCAAGGATACTTTGAAATGGTTATTTATAACATTCCAATTGGGAAAAGATAAACGGGAAAATCAGTGGGTCTTGCTCAAGCCCCTGTTTTCTACACAGTTTTACCAGAATAACATTATTTGTATAATCATTTGACTTCGTAAGTACTGAAAATTTTGCTCAATTCCTTTTTATCACAAATGTGAGTGCTCCTTTACATGAAGGATGTCTTCACTCCCTTCAGATTTGGGTTGCGATCCCATAGCTAGGAACCACAAAATCATCACAGAGTAAACAGAAGCTGGGACAACTCCTGATGTTATCAGGGTTTATTAAAGATCCTGGGGGTTGCATAGTTAGAGCCCAAGGATAGGGAGAAGCAAGCAAGTTGGAAATCAATAGAAAGCTTCCAATGCAGATGAAGGGTCAGATTCCAGGGACAAGGAAAGATGAAGAACAGCACCAACCTTGCCGGGATCTTGTTACTATGTGACAAAAACGGGAGTTGAGGATTTACAGATAGAGCTGCCTTGCTTGCTTACTTAGGCAATCCCTCATAGCTCGAGAATGATTGTCTTGGTGGTGGGTCCGTAGGTGACTGTGGAACCCTATTCTTGATCTTCATCTTCTCCCGCAGTGAGGACATCAGTTTATGTGTGGAAGGTCCCGGTCAGGGTTGTCTTGATGTGCTTTCCTCTTGGCACATTTCTCTCTTTTGCCCTCCATTCGTGCCTCTTCGAATTTCGCAGCACTACTGGTCACAGGTGACCTCCAGTCAGAGCACTCAAGGGCTAGGGCTTTACAGTTCTTGACTCCCTTTGAAAATGCCTGAGCTCTGCTTTTGAGTGGCCCACGTTGGCATGCAGCCCCTTCATTTGCAAGATACACAGAGCTCAACCCAGATCTAAAATGCGTTGGCCCTATAGGCACTCATTCATCTACGCAGCCAGAGAATAACGTATCTTTTGCCCTATTTCCCATGGGAAAATTAAGCCAGGAACAGTATGATATCAAATGGTGGCAAGCCAATTTCTAGTTCAACTGAGCTCCATGAGGAGCTGAAGCATCCAAACCATTGGGTTGTAAGTTCTGATGGAGGCTATATTATAGATCTTGACATTGTTTTCTTTTGACTCACATTTTGACATCTCTCAAGATTCTGTATAGCAGAAACAGTGAGATGTGGGCAAAATATTGTAGGTTCACTTATGTGAACTATGGTCCGTATTTTAGTAACTTTGATGAAAAAGGGGAAGGGAAGGAGGAATATTTTGTGAGTGTTAATATACAATATACAATAAGTGTTAACTGCCCTAGGTTTGTTTTTTAAAATAAAAAACCAATGTAGACAATTCTTTAAAATAAAACAAATGCATGAATTCAATCTTTCCTGTTTCAAGAGGTTCTGAAACTTCTTTTAATACAACTCTTGTTAACTATCAAAGCCCCTAGGTTGCCAAAACGCCTGGAGTAAGACATAGGTATATTAGGATGCCTATTTGTTAGGAAACTATCGAGCAGAAATCTCTTGTTTTCTTTGTACAGGTTTAATTCCAATCTACAACATCTGTTTGAAAGGAGGACAAAGAATGCAACAAACATGGTGAATGGATTAGCAAATAACACAGAGATGGATGACAATAGCAATTGTGATGCTACAGTGGTATTATTAAAGAAAGGTAACTGTTCCAGTAAGTCACAATGCTTGCTTGTAGAATTCTGCTGGATAGTCTAGTGCAGGGGTTCCCAACCCATGGGTCACAACCCAAAAGGAGTCACAGAGGGTTTGCTGTAGGTAGTGGTGAGCCCACAGCAAACCGCAGGCAGTGGTGAGCTATGATTTTTTTTAGCTTGTTAATGAATTACTATGTCAATTGTCACATTAAATATGTTGTAAGTTAACATTATTTTGTATTACAGGCAATCCCCAAGTTACAAACAAGATAGGTTCCAACTAACAAACAAACTAACAAATTTGTTTGTTAGTTGGAACAGGTACATTTTTTAAGTGGCACTCCAGCCAAAACTGTGTATGTGTGTATATGCACACATACACACAGCTTTGGATTGCATGGGGAAGGGTTAACACCCCAGTGATGTTTGTTTTGCTTTATGTGCTCTTGTTCAGAAGATTTCACCTCACTTTCAATCCCTGTGATACTGAATTATGAAAAATATGGCTTGTTGTAGAAACACGGATTGGTGAGAAAGCTTCAGTGGAGACATCTTTTTTCCTATGATAACTCTTCGAGGAGTGAATTTCCCTTCCTAGAGTAGACTTCTCTCACTTCCTGTTGTCTCACTCCTGGTCTCAACTATGAGTAGTTTGTATGTCAGGTGTTTGTAAGTTGGGAACTGCCTGTATATTATACTGAAAAAAACTGTTTCTGTTGTGTTTCCATTTATCCTATTTTAAATATATATATATTTTTAAATGGGGCTGTGACTCAGAAAAGATTAGGAACCTCTGGTCTAATGGATCAGTAATTCAATAATTGAAGGCAGACATAGCATCACTATAATTACATCTTTGAATCCTGTGCTTTGCACTCCTTAAGTCTTTGTAAAACAGTACTAGAGGCCTGATCAAAATCAGGATTAGTTTGGATTGCAGTTACCTATAGTTCCTTTTGTTACAACGGATGGGGAATCCCAAACATGTATTTAAAAGAGAGAGAGAAAGTTCAGAGAGAATTCAAAGCTGCATATTTTAGCTCGGATAGTATGTAAACTCAGTCTGATGGCAATGAATAGTATCTGTTGTTAGTCTTTTTAGAGACCTGAATATAACTTGAAAGAAGGAGTATTGCCCGTGGTGTAGAGTCATCAGAATTTTGACTTTGAAGGTTTTGTATGTTTAATTTGTTGTTGGGCACCTTCAGTCCCATGCTTGGAGAAAGACAGGGTATAAAATAAATAAATAAATTTTAGAAGCTTTCAAAATCTATGTGATAGGAGGTGACGATAGGATTTTTAAAAGTGTGTGTAAGATCTCTCTTAAGTTATGTTCAATTTCCTCAAACACCTTTATCTGCACCTAGTCTTTGTTTTCATCAGTACTGAACCATGGGCTTGCCAACCAAGGGACAGACTTTTCCAGATGTGTCTAAACCATTCAAATTATTAAGAGTGTTTGTAGCACCACTTAGGGAATTAATGCAGTGTGATATCACTTTAACTGCTATGATTCAATTTTATGGAATCATGAGAGTTGTATTTTAGTGAGACACCAGAATTCGTTGGCAGAGAAGACTAAAGAATTCATACAACTGCAGCTCTCATGATTCCATTTCAATGAGCAATGGAAGTTAGAGTGGTCTCAAATGGCATTAATTCTACAGTGTAGATGAATTCTCAGTTAACTGCAGTTAGAGGTAAGCAACTTGTCTCTCTCCTACAAGGCAGTGAGCATGCAGATAGATATAACCCACCTTAAAAGTTCATAATTATAGGCAATCAGCAATCAGCAAATAAAACAATTCTAGCTGCATATAAAGGTGGTGTGAGGTCAGGAAGGTGCGACAGGTGGGAGGGAGGAGTAATCAGCTAGATAAGATTGCTTAATTGGTCTTAATTTTTGTAAATGTAATAGACTAGTGTTGTCTTTTTCAGCAATTTTAAAGTATTTTGCAGTTAGTTAAATCTTTATCTTTCTTTTTTATAAAATGTCTCAACCAGATGTCGAGATATCTTTTACAAATCTGTTTTAGGTCTCATATTATGGTGCAACATGGCAATGCACGTCTTGTTTTTGACTCTGAATCAAATATTGATAGATTGCAACTCCTCTTGCATCATCATCATCATAAACTTTATTTATACCCTGCCACCATCTCCCCCACCGGGGACTTGGGGCGGCTTACATGAGGCCAAGGCCAAACAATATATTACAGCATGATTAGAATTGAATGCTGCACTATATCAGTGTCAATGGAAAGTCATGTTCAATCATTCACAACAATGCATGTAAAGATCTACAGAATAGCCTAATACTGGCCTTCTCTTACTCAAGTGGGAATGGTTCTTCCTTAGACAAGATTACACTGGTGTTTTCTGTGGTAATCTGATACCGTGTGAAAAATAGGCCTACATCTGGCAAAATTGTATTGGTTTATAATACTTCCAAAATAAACTTCAAGGTACTAGTTTTAGAGTATGCCTTTACAGTTGTGTTCTGCTCCTAGTCCTTATTCTTGGGTCAAGTCTTTTCACCTCCAGCTGAAGATCTTTTAATTGCTAGGAGTATTTATTGAATGTTTTAATGACTGGTCACAGTAGATAGTTGTTGGTATTATTATTATTATTATTATTATTATTATTATTATTATTATTAATATTTCCCCACTTTATCTCTCCCAAAGAGAACTCAAAGTGGCTTGACATAAAATCATGTTGTTCAGTTGAAGCTACTAACTGAACCCATGCTTTGAAATATGAGCAGATGTAGTGCCTGTTCTTAAAAGTTTCCCTCATCTTTCTTAGCCGGATGGAAGAAATAAATCAGTTTAGACAAGCAAAACATAAACATAAGGCTGGAAGGTGGCAGTCACAGTTTCCCCAGAACTCCTTTTAGAACAGTGCTCCATCATGTTGCCACTTAGATGACAGAAGAAAACATGGCACCCACCAGCTTGTGCCACCAACACAAATGAGTTACACTAACTGCATATCTTTAAAAGAAGGAAAATATGTTATCTATCATGTTTTTCTGGCAGCAACACTGAGAAATCTACTACTGCTCAACCGTATAATTTTTTTCCCCACAGTGTGAAATGAAGAGCCCTTCTGTACTGGCCCATAAAGCCCTTGCTTTGTGACCCACAGGGACTCTCAGGAACTTTCTTTTGCCCAGCCTATTCTCCCCCCCCCCCACCACATGTCACTGTGTTGCAGCCACAACGTGGGCATCTTCCTTACCCTCGGGGGGTCTAGCAGCCTTCACAAGTACCACCAGAAGGTTGCTGGACCTCCAATGGCAAGGTAAATGTCAATTTTGTGGCTGTAGCCAGCCTCACCATTGGAGGGGGGGGGAGACTGACCACCATCCCACATTCCTGAGTCCTACTTGGAAAGTCATCTATAAATCTTCCAGACTGGGGAGTAGGATATATTAGTGACATGCCAAAAGGCAAGTTGTGAGTTTATAGCTGAGGTAAAATGTAGGGACACCCCGTGCCCCACTGCAGTCCTATATAATTTAATAGGAAGGGTCCTGTTGATAAAAGTGGAAATGATTAATGTAGTCAGTCAGTCAGTAGCCTTTATTTCGGTCAACAAACCATCGGCTAAGTAATGATTAATGTATAGCATTGGACTCTTGGTACAGCTCCATTTCTCTAGCAAAGGGGTCCCCAAACTAAGGCCCATGGGCCGGATGCAGCCCTCCAAAGTCATTTACCCAGCCCCCACCGTAAACTTTAGAGTTAGGGTCACCCTAAGTCTGAAACAACTTGAAGGCACACAACAACAACAATCTTAATTACCTTGACTATCTCATTAGCCAAAAGCAGACCTACACTTTCCATTGAAATATTGGTAAATATATGTCGGTTATAATTGTTCTTCATTTTAAATATTGTATTGTTCTTTCATGTTTTTTTATTTGCACTCCAAATAAGATATGTGCAGTGCGTGCATAGGAATCTGATCATGCCTTATTCAAACTATAGTCCACCCACCCCAACCCAACAGCTTAAAAATGTTGAGGACTCCTACTCTGGCAATTTACAGCCTGAATCCCAGTGGTAGTCGTAACTAAAGTAGACCTCTTGAATCAGTAAAATTTGCATAGATTTAAAGCAGTAAGATTTGGAAAGGCTGATTCTTTCTGATTCAATAGGTCTAGTTCAGTTATCTTACCATTCAGCAACTGATTCAAGAAGTCCACTTTAGTTGGGACTACCAATAGGATTCAGTTCTGCAAAAAAAAATCAATATACTAGCAGAAGGTATGTGAAAAATAATATACTGCTGGTTCACATTTTTTAAAATCACATGTTCCTAAAAATTAGGGGAAATTAAATGGTTGTTAAATAAATGTTATGGAACAAACATGTACAGTAGACATTTGGAAGAAAGATCTTATGGTTCAAACTTCGACTCTCTTAATTATCTTTAGGAAATTACCACCGCAAAGCATCTGTGATCATGGTGGATGAACTGCTGTCTGCATATCCACACCAGCTTTCCTTTTCAGAAGCTGGCCTCCGGATAATGATAACAAGTCACTTTCCTCCCAGAACCCGACTCTCCATGGCTAGTCGTATGTTGATCAATGAGGTACATTTTGTTTTGTCCATCTCCTTCCTTGATTCAGCCATGAACTAGAGCACTTTTGAAAGGTCTGATCTTACTAAGAATCTGAGATTAATTGTATCTTATACTTTACCTCTTCCTCTCACCACAGTTTGGGTGGCCCACATTTTCATATCAGGGTGGCCAGGCATGTAGCCGGGGGGGGGGCTTGGGGGGGGGGGGGGGGCTTCAGCCCCCCCCCTGAAATTCTCATGGTGGTTCGCGAAAAGGGCCTTACTGGTGCATTATTTAAACTGTTATGTTTATTCATATCATGATCTGATCACCATGCTCAATATATCTGATATGCATGGGGGTATTGGGGTAACGATACAAAAGGTTTGCTAGGGCAGACCCTCTTTCACTCAGACTCAGCCCCCCCCCCAAACCAAACTCCCCCGACCCCCCCTGAAAAAAATTCAGCCCCCCCCCCCGAATCGAAATCCTGGCTACAGGCCTGAGGGTGGCACAGATTTATGTTCCGTTTCTCATGTGAATATCCTGAGGGTAAATACATGGCAGACAAAGAAATACCTGAATGAGCCATATTTTGGGCTGGATCACATGCAGAGAAGAACACAAATTGTGCTGGCAGGGTGGAGGAGGAACTCTGGTACTGAGAGATTAGAAGGTTTTACCTACATTGTGTGGAGAAAGAAGGGAACAGCAAATCCTCAGGGGACACTGCCTAGTCTTGCCAGAAATATAAAAACGTAATCCAAAAATAAAATCCTGTTTTGTTTCCAAAACAATGCTGCAAAAGTGGTCTCTTTTGTTCCAGTATCACAGATAGGGAACTGAGATTGTCAACTGAGAAAAGGTCACCTCATGTTTTTTCCAAGATCAAATTCCACTCTCTTTTCCATTGACCCTGTTACAGGTTATTTATGTAGAGAACAGAGAAGACCGTACACTACTAACAAAATATTTACTACAGTCCATAGACCCATCAGTGAACAAACAGTCATTAATAAATTCTCCCGTCTCATTGTCCACAATTAATATACATGGTTTCAAGTAATACCCCTATCCAAGGTTAATTTCTTTCCATAGACCCATCAGTACACCATCTCAAAGTGTCCTAAATAGCCACATGAGAAAGTGTTACTTTCTCAAATAGTGAGACATTTAATTTTTAGAATAAAGTACATTGCAACATCGTTATTTGAATAGCTGTTTAGGAGTCTTTAGAAATACGCCTGTCGTCTTTAATCTGTTTATTCAGTTGGTAAATCAACTAAATCTCCAGGTGATTAAATACCATATCTAATTTTAATCAGTGGGATTGAAAGTTAAGAACCCTTTTTTCTTTCATGAAGGTGTTTTGGTTCTTATTAGATAATATAAAACAGCATGCAGAAGAAATATGCAAGATAATCTACTCACCTAGCAAGGATTGGTAGATTGTGGTGATTACATTTCAAATATCTCAAAGGAGCATTTTTATTTGGACATCTGCTCCATGTATTTATAATTGATTAATTGAGTGATTAGTCAAACTCAGGTATTAATCATTATTTAAACAGAAAAAACACATTTTAAGACTAGCAAAACCAATTTTTATCAATGAATATTGAGTTTCTCATGGAATCAGAGATTCAGATTGTACATCACTAATGTTGGTTGTACTGAAACACCATAAAGGAAGAAATTAACACACCACCCAAAAATTTTATTTGTAGTATTTAATTTGGATATTACATATAAAAAAAGTCCAGCTGCCTTTCCCATTTAGTCCTTTTTTTGTTCAAAGTGCTTGCATGTTTGACTTTATTTCTCCCACCAGCGGCAGAGGCTAATAAACAGCAAAGTGTACACCAATGGAGAATCGGAGGTGGCCATCAAGGTCAAGCACACTGTGGAGAATGGGTCAGGGCCCAGCAATTCTGCTGACAGAGCCACAAATGGAACCAGAAGGGATGAGGAGGCTGCTGTGGCTGGAAATGAAACAGAAAATGAAACTGATGACAATGAAAACAATGAGAATGATGAAGAGGAGGAGGAGGAAGAGGATGAGAATGATGGTCCTTACACACCCTTTGATCTACCATGTAAGTAGTGCCTGGATTTCACAAATCTCTTTCTGGGTGTGACATTGCTCTTGGTGCCCTTGTAAGCAACTCTTAAAACATCTATTGAGGCAGTTTGCAGATATCTGTTTCAGTGTACTGGTGGTTGTAAAGACAATCAAGATATCCAAGGAGTGGGAAATTCTTATATGAAATCTCTCTTCCCTATCACTCCTTTTCTACAGTCCTAGATAAAATTAACTCATAGAATCATAGAATCATAGAGTTGGAAGAGATCTCTTGGGGCATCCAGACCAACCCTCTACCAAGAAGCAGGAAAATCACATTCAAAGTACTCCCGACAGATGGCCATCCAGCCTCTGTTTAAAAGCCTCCAAAGAAGGAGCCTCCACCACACTCCGGGGCAGAGAGTTCCACTGCTGAACAGCTCTCCCAGTCATGAAGTTCTTCCTAACGTTCAGATGGAATTTCCTTTCTTGTAATTTGAAGCCATTGTTCTGCATCCTAGTCTCACTCCTCCCTATGACTTCCTTTCACATACTTATACATGGCTATCATGTCTCCTCTCAGCCTTCTCTTCTTCAGGCTAAACATGCCCAGCTCTTTAAGGCACTCCTCATAGGGCTTGTTCTCCAGACCCTTGATGATTTTAGTCACCCTCCTCTGGACACAGTCCAGCTTGTCAATATGTCTCTTCAATTGTGGTGCCCAGAATTGGACACAATATTCCAGGTGTGGTCTAACCACACTCTTTTTAATCCTGGAGGTGAGTCATGTAACTGTTGGAAGTATTGTATTTTGGCCAAGGGTGATAGATGATCTGACATCTTTCCTTTGGGAAGAGGCTTGACCTTGTTTATTATTGTTATTGTCATTTATTTGTATAGCACCAAATATATACATGCCACTTTACAAGTAGAACAACCCAAAACAGTGGATCCTGCTAAAATATATGTGTGCTCACACATAACGCACACAGAAGGAAGGAATAATAAAAATATAAAACTATGTAATGCAATTATAAAATAAATAACATATAAAATACAATCTAATGTAAATCAAGTCTTATGGTCCATTTATACTTTTACACTCCAAAATACAAGAGAGAGAAAAATCACAATTATTTGGACTTCTGTTAAGAATAAAAAAGCACTGAATCAATTCAATTCCCATTTTAATAAGAACAAGCAAAATTAGTACTTTCCAAACTGACTTCTCCCTGTCTCAGGGTACCAATGAAGTGTATTTGTTCAAGGCCTAAAACAACATGCAGCCATGAGTTGATGGTACTGGCTCTAGGTTTTTCTCTTTCTTCTCGTTGTTTCAAGTTTCAGTTCGGGAGGTTGCTGTGTTGATCCAGCTTTTCAGTTTATCATTTCTTTTAAGTGGTATATGCATTTTTCTGTCAACATGACTTGGTGACATTTTATCATTGAGGAAAAGAGACTGTACAAAAATAAATAAGTGTGGTCTTCTTCTTCTTTTTTGTTTTGTTTGTTTGTTTTTATAGCTGGCACGGTGGAAAAGCTCAAGTGGCTGTTTACCTGGCCTCTCTCTTTGCTCTTGTATTTCACGGTGCCCAACTGCAATAAACCCCGCTGGGAGAAGTGGTTCTTGGTTACATTTGCCTCCTCCACAATCTGGATTGCAGGCTTTTCCTACATCATGGTGTGGATGGTATGTATCGGGCCCAAATAATGTTAGAAGGTTTTGATAGGCACCCCATTCTATTCAGAATATCAGCTGCCTTGATAGATCAGACCAAAGAGACTTCTAGTCTACCATTCTCTTACAATAATTGGCAAAAGTATGATAGCTGGGACCCAATGCTGGTTGCGTGGCATGGGTCAGAATTAGAGAAGCAAAGACGTTACGTATTTGAACGTATTTCCATACGATATCCAGATAGCCTTAAGCACTATGCTTGACTGTTTTTTACCAAAAAAAAAAAACTGGGAAAATGTATTGACTCGAGTATAAACTGAGGGTGGGAAATGCAGCAGCTACTGGTAAATTTCAAAATATAAATAAATACCAATAAAATTAAAATAAAATAACATTAATTGAGGCATCAGTAGGTTAAATGTTTTTGAATATTTACATAAAACTATAATTTAACATCATATTGTCCAACTCTGATTAAACTATTATTCTAACCTTCTTCAATGTAAATGTGCTTATCTATCCTTCCAATAATAATAGTGTAAAATAATGGAAATGCAATAATAACCGTAATAATAGAGTAAAATAATAAATGTAATAATAATAATAATAATAATAATAATAATAATAATAATACCGTTGCTCAGATGATTCATTGGAACTTGTGCCACAAATACTATCTGCCTATGACAAAGAACTGGTGGGATACAACAGCCAGCAGAGTGACCTTGTTTGCTGTATACTAATCTTTTTGTGTTTCAAATAATATTAATAACAACAGAGTAAAATAATAAATAACTTTGACTCAGGTATAAGCCGAGGGGGACTTTTTCAGCCTAAAAAGGGGCTGAAAAGTTGGCTTATACTCAAGTATGTACGGTAAAAAAAATGTGCATTGAGTTCTACTTTTAAAAGCACCTTAGACAGATAAGTATCTTAACATATAATTTGTTTTTACCTGTTTATGTACATGCTTAAATATTTTGAACTACTGAAAAAAGACCACCTAGAGCTTCTACCTCCCATATTTGTAACTAGGATTTGTATGTGAGTCAGATGTTTGTAGCTTGGGCACTGCCTGTACTATGAATTTTTTTTAAATGTGTCATGGCGGTTCAAATTTTCCCCCAGTAAAGCTCAATTTTGTGAAAATTCAACTAACCAGGCTCAACTTCATTAAAATAATAGAACAGTGTGGTGTTTTGTTACTATGAGGATGGGCAAACAACAGCTCACTTCTCTTACAATCCATAGGACAAATAAAAAGCTAGATACTTGCAGCTGCCTTGCTAATTGACAGCCATTGTATTTGCCCAGAGGCATCCTCCCCCACCCCCTCGCCTTACTATGCGGCAAAAGTATAATTTGGGACCCTGAGCCTATGTATCAGACTGGGACAAATGTTGTGTTTTCTCCAAACTGTTGTGTTTGTCACACTGTGAACTTCCACTAATGAGTAATAGAATAGGCTCTACTATGAAGTCAACCTCACCTCACCTCCAGAACAGTAGGAAAGGTAAAATATTATTTATTATTTATTATTTATTTATTTACGGTATTTATATACTGCTTTTCTCACCCTGAGGGGACTCAAAGCGGTTTACACACACAAAAAAGTCTTGTCACATCCCTGTCTCTGATTGCTTTTGTTATCCAGGAATTTTAAGAATTGCTGAAAATACCAAATAGATAGGCAAATTAAATTGAGGAAGTGTTTCCAGAGAGGAAGTGAGAGAGTGACACATTGAATTTCCAATTTTAAAAAAAACTAACTTGGAACATTCCTTTTTTATGCCGTATTCATTGGCTTGCATGTTCAAAACTTGTGCCATAAATGTGTCATATCATAAGGACATCACCAAAGATTTCCCAAGTATGTCTGGTCTCACATAGCTTGTGTGGTTAGCCTTCTCTTGATCTACAAATAACTCTTTCATTTCCCCACTGGAGAATCAACCTCAAAAGTAATGGGCCCTTGTTGCTAGTCAAACCTGGCTGTTTTACAGAGCTGTTTGGCTAGCTCTTGTGATCACTCCCATAATATTTCTCATTTAAAAACAATCCAAATTGTCAATGTAATTACTGAGTAATTTTTTTAACTGTAGCAGCATATCAAATGCATGGGGATGTCATTCTTCACTAGTTTTCATTTTTAAAGCAGCAACAAGGAATTTTAGCATTTTTTTCCTCACTGTAAGAAGATTATTAGAATATGTTGTCAAAGGCTTTCGTGGCTGGAATCACTGGGTTGCTGTGAGTTTTCTGAACTGCATGGCCATGTTCCAGAAGCATTCTCTCCTAACGTTTCGTCCACATTTTTTGCAACATCTTTTTGCAACATTCACATTTGCTTCCAACAGATAAGAGTTCTTTCACACACCCTGGACATTCCACAGATATATAAACAACAACAGATCTCACAACATCTGAAGATGCCTGCCACAGATGTGGGCGAAATGTCAGGAGATGATGCTTGTGGAACATGGTTGTACAGCCCGGAAAACTCATAACAACCCAGATAGTTATGTCATGTTTATTTATGTCCTTCTTACAGATGGTTTTATTGTTATGTGTCTTTGTTGTTTGTACTGTTTTTAAAATGTTGTGAGCTGCTTTGGATACCATTCACTGAGAAAAATTATTATTGTTATTATTATAAGTAGTATTATTAGTATTATTTTCAAAAATGATGCCATTTAAAAATACTATTGGACTTACTCTGCACAGAATTTGCACTTGGTAGTAGTTCAGTACAGAAAACAACTTTCTGACATACAAAAAAGTGTTTTCTATGCTAAAATTTAATAATATTGATATGATTTTCTATGAAAAAAAATCTTGCATAAAAATGCTGTTTTCTGCACAAAACAACCATGTGCAAATTTTGAATACAATAACTCCCAAACTGCAAGAATTCTCAGTTCAAAATTCTCCATGTCAGGGTTTCAAGAGACTCACTAGGGACCGTTCCCAAGCATTTTGAAATATTGTATCCATCCCTAAAAGAGAGGAAAGAAATCAACTGGATTTGAAGCTAGGTTTAATTGTCATTGAGATATTAAAGACAAGGATAAACAGAGTTAAACTGGTCACAGGAAAATGTACAGTGGGTTCTGTGGAACATACATCTGTGTGTGCCATAAATGGACTTAAAAGCCTGACAGTTTGTTTCAACTCTACAGGTTACAATAATTGGCTACACCTTAGGTATTCCTGATGTGATCATGGGGATAACGTTTCTAGCAGCTGGAACCAGTGTCCCGGACTGCATGGCAAGCCTTATTGTAGCAAGACAAGGTAGGTTTGTACTATGCCAGAGTATGGATGTCAAATTCCCTTCTTTCAGAGAAAGTCATTACTTTTGACTTATGGGAAAACGGCCAGTCAGTGTTTTAACACAGAACATGGACTCACAGGATCTTGAATAGGGAACACTGTTAATTATTATTATTATTTTATTATTTACCACATTTACATCCCACCCTTCTCACCTCAACGGGGACTCACAGCAGTCTTACAATAGGCAACAAATCGATGCTGCAATACATACAGATAAGATAAACAAATACATTAAAATGCAAAAAGTTAAAATATCATACATTAAAACCAATAATTAAAATCATGTAGTCCGAAATCATAATCGAGAGCCATTCTCTTCATCATTGCACTATATCATAGTCTCTTATTGCACTGATCAAAAGTTACTGACCAAAAGCTTGTTTTTATAGCCACGTTTTCAGTTTTTTTCTGAAGGGGACGGATCTAAGTTCACTGGGAAGGGAGTTCCATAGAAGAGGGGCCACCATTGAGAAGGCTCTCTCCCCACCAACTGCACCTGTGAAGGAGAAGGGCATCCAGCATCCAGTCCAAGGGATTGAGCTTCAAGATAGCATGTTCCCTCCCATTTTTCTTCTTCTCATTACCTTCAGAAAGGGCAGAGGATTTGAATGAATGAATGAATGAATGAGGGAAAGAGCTAAATTTGCTGAATGCAGCATTTCAATTATACTGCAAGATTGAATCTGTTTCAATGCATTTGCTCATTTAAAACATCCATCTGTTCATACACATAGTGACAGAATTAAAAAAAAGAGGTTTCTAGATGAAATGTAGAACAAAAATTAAGCTTGGATTGGGGGTGGGCAACCATGGAAAGTTAGAGACTGCAATAGTCTCCCAGGAAAACCTGGAAAACAACCTACTATCAAAACCTTTTTTTAAATTCTTCCGAATATCCCAAACACTCTTTAGGAGTCTGGTGGACATTTTAACTTCATATTAACCCACCTTGCCCCAGGCCATTTCAGGCCTAGGAGAGGCAATTTCAAACATTAGTAGTGACTGGCCATCTCTGTTTTAACTCCCTGTGGATCACAAATGCAGTTTTAAGGTCACACTTTGTGCATTCTATGATGAGATTTAGTCTCCATGCATGAATCTGATGGAGGTTGTTGACCGTTTCATGATCTTCAAGCTCTTTGATGTCTTCCCCTTTGGGCAAAAAGTGGTAACCACTTTCAGATTTTTTTCCTGCACTTGTCATCCCCAGTTTTGTGCTAAATTGTGGTCCAGCCCATTCCCCCATTTTTCCCCAAACCCAAAACATTCCACAATGCTGTGGAATCACAGGAAGAGTTTTACAAGGTCTTTAGCCTTCTCTGCCAAATAGTTCTGTTGTCCTGACAGGTAAAGTTGTGTTGAATTGCATTAATTCCACAGTGTAGATGCACCCTGAAAACAAGATCACCCATTAAAATGGATTGGCTGCCAATTCAACCAGAAAAAGGGAAGTACTGCTTCACATTGTGCATTATTCTTGATGACACAAGACATAGTGATGATAACCCAACTTGCAACCAAGCAAGAAATCTCTGTAGCATTCCACAACTTTTGCTAATGTGGAGTAAAATTGGGCTAACTGGTTTTATATTGCATTAGGGGCCAGAAGTCCCTGAATAGATTGTGGACCTCCAGGAGTGACTTCAAGCTCAATTTGGGCTTTGGACTGGAGCTTCCTTCATTGAATCACATTTAGTTCTCTTCAGTTTAACGGCTCTAATCCATTATGACTTTAGCAGTTTATACCTTTCTAGTGGGATTTTAACAAACCTTAGCAATATAAGCCTGTATATCCTCAAACTTGGTGTGGCATGTTTTGCTTGGACTGCATACAGTGGGGCAGGGGGTTGCTTGGATAAATGTTGAACCTCTTTTTCATTTATCAGAAAACTAGAAGGACCAAAGGACGAATAGTAGGATAGGGTTTATAATTTTCAAATAATATAGAAATGGCAACTTAATATAAAAGAGTCTTGTTCTGTGACCGCTGTTTTGTTTCCGCAGGTATGGGGGACATGGCTGTATCCAACTCCATTGGGAGCAATGTTTTTGACATTCTGATTGGCCTTGGCCTTCCATGGTCTCTGCAGACCCTGGCAGTAGACTATCGTTCCTCCGTAAGTCATTTGTTTACCTAAACTCTTATTTCTCAGATGCAAATTTTCTTTTCATGGTCACAATTTCTCTAGGAGGGTTTGGGTGTTGGATATCTAGTGATTTCCAAGAATTCTTTATTTTCTGTGAATTGACATGTGAGTGCATAGATTCCTATTTAAAGATTTCAAGTAGAGAAGAAATATCAAACAGGTAAGAAGATGTCCATTAACAGATTCTGTTGGCATTTAATAGTATGTACATTGTTGAGTCATACAGGAATCTTGGTTATACAGACGAAGTCAACAGATAATGCTTTTGAAAAGTTTGTTCTATTCTTTCATTCCTCTGGATGTACATAGCAGCAGCTATATGCACTGAAAGGTTGTCATTTATATTCCGCCTTTCTCCCCAAGGGGACTCATAGCAGATTACAGCATATAAACAGACATAGGCAAACATTCAGTGCCTTGTTACAGTGAAATACAATGAACACAAATACACAGACAAAGGCAAAGGCTTCTGACTCTGGAGGCGGTGCTCTGGGGGAGGTGTTCATCTCCATTTCCAAGCTGAGGAGCCTGCATTTTCTGTAGACACCTCCTGGTTGTGCGGCCAGCATGACTGCTTGGAGCGTCTTTTTGTCTTTCCCACCAAGGCATTATCTATTGATTCACTCACATTTCCATGTTTTTGAACTGCTAGGTTGGCAGGAGCTAGGGCTAGCAGTGGGAGCTCACCCCATCTCGTGGATTCGAACTGCCAACCTTCAGGTCAGCAGTTTAACAGCACAAATTTAACCCATTGTACCACCCGCAGCCCGAACTATTCCCCTTCAATAAGGAACAGAGTGAAATGAACAGTTCATCAATCCAATTGTCCAGTGATATAAATATGAGAGAACTTTCGAATACTTTAGAGCAGTGGTTCTCATCCTTCCTAATGCTGCTACCCCTGAATAAAGTTCCTCATGTTGTGGTGACCCCCACTATAAAATTATTTATGTTGCTACTTCATAACTGCAATTTTGCAACTATTATGAATCATAATGTAAATATCTGATATACAGGATGCATTTTATTTACTGGACCAAATTTGACACAAATATCCGATACGTCCAAATTTGAATATTGGTGGGGTTGGGGGGGGGGTTGATTTTGTCATTTGGGAGTTGTAGTTGCTGGGATTTGTAGTTCACTTACATTCAAAGAGCATTCTGAACTCCACCAATGATGAAATTGAACCGAACTTCCCACACAGGAATAGAAAATACAGGATGGGTTGGATGGGCATTGACCTTGAATTTGAGAGTTGTAGTTCACCTATATCCAGAGAGCACTGTGGACTCAAACAATGATGAATCTGGACCAAACTTGGCACAAATACTCAATATGCCCAAATATGAACACTGGTGGAGTTTGGGGAAAATAGACCTTGACATTTGGGAGTTGTAGTTGCTGGTATTTATAGTTCACCTACAATCAAAGAGCATTCTGAACCCACCAATGATAGACTTATAAAATACATATATTTGACCTTTAAAAACATAGAAAAACCAACATCTTCACAAATAGCCTCGTTATCCAAAGTCATAGTCTGGGCTGTTCCAAATTCAGTTGCACATAGTTCCGTGTTTATCTATTGCTTATCAAAAAAATTTCTGATATGATTTTTTTGAAGAATATATGTGTTATTTTCAAACAAGAGCATTGCTAAAAGAGGTTTGCAAATTATTATAGACACCAAGTCACAGAAAGACTGAAACAGAGTATTTTTTTATTAGTGTTCGCCCTAATTTCGCTATCTGCATATGAAGTAGTGTGAGTTACACTTAGATATTATTATATATTCCAGATGCATCTTTACTTCCTTTATCAATTGTAAGACTGAGCCAGAAGCCATTCAAATGTTTGTTTAGGCTGTTTCTCATTGCATTGGGATAATTGCCTGACATTTTCCTTCCACCTGGCCCTGTCTGAACTTAGGAAAATGCACCTACAATTTGGAAAGTTTTTTCACCTAGAACCATTCCAGCTGATTGTTATGAAAATGCAATATATATTAGTATAGAATAGTTAGTACCTGAATGTTCATATTTTTTAGTATCATGTGTCCTATGATAAGCCACTGCTTTACATTATAAATGGTCTTGTATGCTTTAGCATAATCTGGATATATAAATGTAGTCAGTAAACAAGCAAGTGCAATGCTACCATGAAACTTCTTTAAGCGTGTGCTGAATCTCCCATCTTGAAAAGTTTTCCAGTGGTGGCTAGACAGCCTCAATCAGGACTGCTTGTTTGGGGATAATTAGGCATCATTAGGCAGAGAATGAATCCTATCTGTCAGAAACCACCTGCATGTTAATTCACTCTACATCTAATGGAATGCATTAAGGAGGATTAGGGCTAAAGAGGCTGTCTGAAGCATGAGCAGCTGACTGAGTGTAATTGATAGTGAATCTGTTAAATATGTAATGCGTAGACATTTATATCTTTAAAAACCACAGTATGGGCTCATGCTCACCACTTGGATCTTCTAAATGCTTGGTGGTGATTGTGTGAAACCACAGGGACCACAGAAAGTTCAAATGACAGGAGGGAGTTCTTAGTAATCAGACAGTATGTGCTGGAGGAGGGCGCACCTCAGCTCACCCCTTGAAAGAACACTGAGGCCCCTTCTACACAGCCATATAATTCAAGTTATTAAAGCACACAATCCACATCAACTGCTTTGAACTGGATTAGATCAGTCTACACTGCCATATACAGTGCTTCCTCACTTATCGTGGGTGTTACGTTCCAGGACCACCCGCGAAAAGTGAAAATCCTGAGAATCTCCTTTTCCTGACCACCATGAGTGGTTGTCAAAAATCTTTCATGGTTGTTATTGCTTATTTGTTGAGTCACTTCTGACTCTTTGTGACCTGTGGCCTCCAAGGGGAGGCTGTTTCTAAGACTCCAATCTGGGAGGGGAGAGCAGGCGTGCTCAGCGCATGGCAGCATGGTGCACATGTGTGGGTGAGGAAGAATGTGCAAGGCTGGAGGGGGAGCCATGCCAGCGAGTCCTTTCAAGGCATGGGGGTTCTGTGTGGGAGGTTTGGCCCACTTTTATCATTGGTGGGGAATGCTCTTTGATTGTAGGTGAACTATAAATCCCAGCAACTACAACTCCCAAATGTCATTTTCCCAAACTCCACCAGTGTTCACATTTGGGCATATTGAGTATTCATGCCAAGTTGGGTCCAGATCCATCATTGTTTGAGTCCACAGTGCACTACAACTCCAAAATTTGAGGTCAATGCCCACCAAAACCTTCCAGGATTTTCTGTTGGTCATGGGAGTTCTGTGTGCCGAGTCTGGTTCAATTCCATCGTTGATGGAGTTCAGAATGCTCTTTGATGGTAGTTTAACTATTAATTCCAGCAACAACAACTACCAAATGACAAAATCAATCCCCCCAGCCCCATCAATATTCAAATTTGGCCGTATCGAGCATTTGTGCCAAATTTGGTCCAGTGAATGAAAATACATCCTACATATCAGGTATTTACATTACGATTACAGTAGCAAAAGTACAGTTATGAGGTAGCAATGAAAATAATTTCATACTTGGGGGTCACCACAACATGAGGAACTGTATTAAGGAGTTATGGCATTAGGAAAGTTGTATTCTTTTTCTTTCATGTAATTTTGATGATGTTGCTTGTTGTTTATGTTTTCGTTTCATTTTGATGTAATATGTTGTTCGGGTTTGGCCCCATGTAAGCCGCTCCAAGTCCCCAAAATTATTATTATTACTACTACTACTACTACTACTACTATTAAAATTGAGAAAACACTGATCTGGGTAGCAATGCCTATTACAGACACCAGGGGGTGGTACTATTCTGTAATTTAATCATTTTGTTTTTTTCTATGAGTTCATCTTTTTCTATATGGGCATTTTTTCTGCCTTCCTAGGATTTTCAGCGGTGATGTGAACTGCTACATTCAGTTCTGCTGCCTTTACCTTCAACGTGGCAACCGAGGCATGCCAAGCACACCTTACTAACCCAGAGCGATTTCTCTCCTTAATTGTCAGTTGTGAGAAATGGGTCACTATTGTCTCTCTCCTTTACTCCCCCACCCACCTTTTTTTTTTCTTTGCTCAGTGGGATCTGGTCTTTGTTCCAGGAAATACAGCTGTGATGTCTATTGTGGGCAGTCAAGCTTCCTGACAAAGTGCATTCCAGAGCTATAAAGCCGCCACTTGCCTATTGCCCCAGAGAACGTTCCCCAGGGAATTTCTCGCCCCCCAGGAAACCAGACCTTTTTGTTTACTTAAAAGACTTTAAGATGGGACAGTCTGTTGAGAGCACAAAAAAACAGTGACTCAAGCTTGATAGCTGTCTTGGCAAATTAAAACCCTTCCCCTCTCCCACTTCCTATTGTTTGCTCAGCACCATAGCAAAACATTACAGAATAATACAGCCCAGAAAACTCAAAGCAACCCATTAAAGAATAATGTTTGCCATGATACTTTATTTATTTATTTACTTTACTTGTATACCGCAGTTTCTCAGCCCAACAGGCGACTCAACGCGGTTTACAACAAGGATAAAAATCAATCAACGATATACAATTTAAAACCATAAAAGCATAATATACAATATTGACACAACAATAGACAACACAATGCATCTCATAACTAGAGTCGTGATCCAATCCGTCGTCCAAATTTCCATTCCTGTAATCATCACATTCATTGCACTGTTTAACCGAATGCCCGTTCAAACATCCAAGTTTTTAATCTTCTTCGGAACACCATTAGCGAGGGGGCTGATCTTACCTCCATAGGAAGGGCGTTCCACAGCCGGGGGGCCACCACAGAAAAGGCCCTGTCTCTCGTCCCCGCCAGCGCACCTGTGAAGCAGGCGGGATAGAGAGCAGGGCCTCCCCAGAAGATCTTAGGGTCCTGGTGGGCTGATAGGCAGAGATACGTTCGGATAGGTAACTTGGGCCAGAACCGTTTAGGGCTTTAT